TCAACATAGGTAGCCCAATGGGCTATGGTTCTGGCTACAGAATGGTCCCCACAGCAGATGGATCTCAGAGAACAAAGCTGGTCACCCCCTGCCTTCTGCAGCTGGGGACACACACAGCTCTACAGTAGCCCCATGTCCCTGCATCCATCTCTGCCTGATTTGGAAAGAGGGGCCCTATGATGGAGAACTGCGCTTTCAATAATGCTGAAGTAATGAACTTTAACGGGCTTCAGTGCTTTCATATTATTTGGAAAGGTGTGAGACACAGGGCAGGGGTGGGTATGAGAACCATGCTGCTCCTGATTTGCAGTCACATGCACTATCCAGAGCCCTGAGGAAGCAGGGCTGCTCTCACCCCAGCTCTCGGCAGCCTAGCTGAAAGCAACTGCTGTATTTTGACCACATCTCTACCCCTCAAAATCATTGACCCTGACCCTGCCAGGGTGCTGTCAGGATGGAGGGGAGCGATGGAGGTATAATACACCACCACGTTGCCTGGAAGCTTAGAGCTATCCTCGGGTGACTCTAACAGCATTCAAGCCCGATGGAAAAGAAGTGAGAATCTGGCTTCCAGCCGGCGTGTGATCACTCAAAGGGAGGAAACACCCTGGAAGTCCATGTGACGGTGAAAAAAGAGTAACTGGAAATTAAGGCGGTGGCGCAGGGGGGACTTGTACAGCGTGATCCCTGAGATGGTGGAATAAACGACGTCCTGTGGGCAAGTGGCGTTCCCGGGTCTTGTCTGTTATTTCAGACTGTATCCGGAGGGCAGATAAATGCCAGGCCCACTTCTAATTAAGGAAACTGAGGAAGGGAAATGTGAGTGGCTCGTCTCAGAGGCAATCTGTCGGGAGGAAATGCAGCCGAAGGCTTCTCAGCTATCCCAGGCACAGCCTTGGTTACCCAGCCCAGACCCAGCCTGGTGAGGTCCCCACCTCTTGCTGCCTTGCTTGAGTTACTCTGATCTGGGAGCCAGTGCCAAGTATCTGGTGGGGAACCCATGCACGAGTGGGATGAACAAGATGACCTCACGGGTATTTTCCTTCTCTCTCACACTCCTATGACTCAATCACCCCGCTGAGCTGGAGCTGCTGCCCTGGAGAGGTTTGGTTCATGCAGCAAGACCTCGGTGAGCTGGTCAAAGTCCTCTCCTCTCTAACGGGAGCTGTTTGGAGGGCAGAGAGAGCTCAGCTCTGCACTGCAGAGAACACCATAGGTGTTCTCTCACCTGCAAAGCCATAGAGAGGGAATGGGAGCCCCAGGCAAAAGAGATGCTGGTTTCCCTGCAAAACAAACCCTTAAATGAGGATTGTGGCGAGGGCTGCCCTCAGGAGGGGGAGCCTCTGGAGAGATGCAGGCAGTCTGAGCCCTGCTAGAGAACTGAGTCATGGAGAAGGAAAACTTGAAGTCACCCTCCAGACTCCCCTGTGGTCTAATGTGCTAGGGAAGAGTTTGACAGGGCAGCTGCAGCAGGCTGTGCTGTCTGAGGATGACCTGCATGGCTGTCACGTGTTGGTGTCTCCACTGGTACTGGGAAGCAGGGCTCACCCTAACAGCAGGCACAGGATGCCAGGATCTTTGCTTGGATCCTCACAGGTCACCCTCCCAGCTGCTTTGCACTCAGGAGCACATTACAAAAGCACTATGGTGGGGTTAGGGAGAGGAAACAGAATTTCTGCTGTTGCCACAGCAGACAGATCTGGTGACAACTCCTTGCCCAGCATTAGCATGGCACCTTGCTATCTTCTTTTGATCCTAAAGAAGATGGTATGATGCTGGCAGCAGCACCATTCCCTGGTGAGGTTATGGCCCTTTGAAATTGTCACTTGAAACGCCAAACTCCTCAGCTGCTTGGCAGCTTCACTCTGTCTATGGTGTGTTCCCTCCATCCTGGATATAAAACACCCTTCTGAAAAACTGTCGCTTAAAAAAACCAAGCACATGCCAGTATGTCCATCAGCACTGCGTCTGTGTAGCACTGCCATCTGCTGTCGGTGGCTATGAGCAGAAACACCTAGCTTTTGTGTCACCCCAGGGACTGCTGGAAAGGCACAAAGGTGCCCCAGAAGGATGCTGCACCCAGGACTGGTGCATGATCCCCTGGCATGACAAGCAGCACCTGCAGGCAGCAAAGCCCTGGAGCAGCCAATGCCTGCTTGGGCTTCCCCTTTCCCCTGGCTGAAAGCAGAAGTGGTGACTATTTTCAGTGCTGCCTCACTTCGGAAAGAGTCGTGCATGCCCCAGAGCACCACCCTGGCTAAGGCACCTTGCTCTGGGCAGAGGAAATGAGTAATGGCGAGGGTCTCACTGCCGTTCCATGACCCAGCCCTGGCTGTGTGCCCCAGACCTCTGCCTTGGGGCTGCCTGGCGTAATAGGAGTTTCCTTCCACATGCTGGGCACACCGGTTTCGTGGGGACATGCATGAGGAATGACTCTTAAACTGTCTTTTCCAGCAGAGAAACACTTAAGCAAAAAGCCTCCCAATGATATATAAATACGTAACTTTGTCCTCCCCTCCATCCACAGTCCTATATTGCCTTTCCTTAAGCTGGACGAGCTCTGGGTGGGAGGATAAGAACACCAAACTGGACCCCAGAGCTGGCCCTCATGTCCCAAATTCTCCACAATGAAAGGCCTCTAGATGGGGCTTTAATGCAATATTGCTGCTGGCCTCTGCCAGTTTGCCGTCGCTCGCAGAGCCCGGGAGCTGCTTTCTTTTCAGCACCCATGGGGGCACACGGTGTTCGTAGTATGGCGCCATTTCACCTCAACCATTGGGGTAAGGACATTGAGATATTCCCAGACTCTGGTGAATCCCGTGGATTTGAGGAAGCTATTTGCTGGGTTGGATTTGACACTTCCCCTCTCCCAGGTTTGTGCACGTGGATGCACACACAGTGCTTTTCCACAAGGCTGTTTTGCAACGGTTCAGTCAGGGATTGGGCAGAGATATTGTACATATTAAGAATTGAAGCAGCGCCCCCCCCCCCCCCCCCCCCCCCCCGGGCTTTATTCTGCAATAATAAGTGGAACCCAAATAGTTTGCATGGTGCTGGGAATGCTGGAAATACCCCAGCTAATGATCAGTGGTGAAAATAAATGTACCAAGCTCCCAGTGTCACTCAGAGGCTATTCCAAGACAAAAGGTTCATCCCCATTAACCCACCCACTGCGTGGTTCCTTCCATAGAGTATGGGGATCAGAAACATAAGCAGCCTTGCTAGGATTTTCCAAGGGTATCCCTGTCTCATCATGCACCCAGTTGTCACCTTTGCAGAGCTGAATACCTTAACCCCCTGGGGACAGTGATTCCCTGATTCCAGTGACACATACCTACATGTCCTCCTGTTTTTGTCCCTGTGGGGGACACGGGCAGTTCAGTAGCATGACACACACATATGCTCAGGAGGGAAACCTTTTCGTTCTTGGGTGGCAGCGGGTGCAGGAATTACCTCGAGGATGACGATGAGTGACGTCAGCTGACCTGGAACAGCGCTGACACCGGCACCAGCCCCAAAGGGCTGACATTTAGGGCATTAACTACTTCCCAGCTGGAGTGCTCGTTGTCCTGTCTGTGCTTTGGGGTCTCTGTGCTCCTTTCCACTGCGCTGGTGATCGTTGGAATGCGTCACTCTCGCACAGGGCTGGGAGTGTGTGTGCGCTCGGAGTACATGATGCCCGTGCCTTTCCACATCCAGCCTTTGCATTACTTGCGTGCTGGGATCAGCCCTTGCCCACCTTGCCTTTGCACAGCTGTCTAGCCCTTGAAACATTGAGTGGCATGTTTAACCCTTGGACAACCATCCAGCCTTTGCACAGCTGCCCCATTCTTGTATGACGGATCAGCATTTGCACCTGCAGCCCTTATGTGACCACCCAGCCACTGCACATTTAATGTTTGACTGACTGATTGGTGCTTGCATGTCTGGTCCATGCACAGCTGATGAGCCCTTGCTTATCCAACCCTTCCACAACTTTGCAGCTGCCCAGATAAGGCACATCTACCCTTTGTACAACCGCCTGACCCCAGCAAAGATGTCCATCCCTGGCACATTCAGCCCTTGCACAGTTATCCTGCCCTGGCATGTCCAGCCCTCGCATTCCCAGCACTGGCATGGCCACTTCTTTCACATTCAGTCCTTGAACAACTGCTCATCTCAGGCATATCCAGCCCTTTGTACGATTGCCCTACTCTGGCAGATCTGGCCCTTGCACACCCAGCTCTTGCACGACAGCCCACCTCTCCAGATGTGGCACATCTACACCTTACACAAATGTTTGACCTTTGCATGGCTACCCTCCCCTGGCAGATCCAACCCAGCTCTTGTCTGCACAGAGCTGACACAGCCAGAGATTACATACGTGGCTGTTGCACACCTGGCTTCCCTAGCATATCCAGCCCTTGCACACCCAACGCTTGCACAACTGCCAGACCCTTGAACAGCTCCCTGTCCCTGTCCCATCTAGCCCTTAAATGACTGCTCTGCCCTCATACATCCAGATTTTGCACAAGCATTCCTTTAACCACTGCCCGTTTCTTCCCAGCTGCCCATTTGTGGCACAAGCAGCCTTTTCACATCTGACCCTCACACGGCTGCCCATCTGTGGCACATACATCCCTTGCACATCTGGCCCATGCAGGACTACCCAGCTGCCCCGCTGTCCTACACCTAGCCCTTGACAGCTGCCTGTCCTTTCACACCTGCCCATCCCTGTCACTCCCAGCCTGTGCACGTCCGGTCCTTTCTCTCCCGGCAGTGTCACATGCCCACAGCCGGGGACGCCAGTGCCGGTCCCAGTCCGGACCCCGATCCCGATCCCGGTGCCGGTCCCGGTCCGCTTCCTCCCCGCTCTCCCCGCCCCTCCGCGCAGCACTGCACCGCCTCCCGGGGGCGGGTCCCCTCCTCCCGTCCCGCCTCCCCGCCGCTGCTCCGCCCCGCCCCGCCCGCCGCCGGCAGGGCGCTCGCTGCCGGCCGCGCTATAAGAAGCGGCACGGGCGGCGGGGCCGTAGCGGGCGCGGCGGGGGAACGAGATGAGCAGCGCCGGCGCCGCTGCAAGATGCTGGATGGACACGTCCTGCTGGGATGGCTCTCCTCCTGCGCGCTCCTAGGGCTGCTCGCCTGCGCCCCGCGGCCCTCCGCCGCCTACTTCGGGTAGGTGCCCCGCAGCCCTGCTCTTGCTTCGCAACTTTGTCTTTAGTGGATTTTGTCTGTTTCTTTGCACCTTGTCCGTCCCGCCCGAGGTGGGGATGCTGCTGCGCGCCTGCTGACGGCCTCCCTCCCTCGGTGAGTGCGGGCATCCCCTCCTGCCGGCTCTGACAGCCGCTCCGAGTGAGGCACTGGGCAGCGCCGTCTCCCCCGTCGTCCCGGGCAGTCCTGCCGCGGATGGTCTCCAGGGTTGCAGCTTGCCCGAGGCTTCCGAGCTCTGCCCCGGGGCCGCGGGTACAAGCCGCTAAGGGCAGGGAGCGGACTGTCTCGTTCGGTCCTTTCCCGACGGTGGCGGCAGCTCGCAGGAGGAGACCCGTGGTGAGGTGGCTGGGGAGCTCTGGCCTCCATCGTAATGGGACAGCCCTGGAAAAACTTTTTCCCTCTCATTTAAGCTCATACTTCAGCATCAGGTGCTAGGAAGCGAATCCCGGCATTATCCCGGCGGCTTTATTAGTTGTTTGGGTTTTTTTTTGGAGGGATGTGCATGGTGCTGTCACCAGCCCGGGACGGGACAAAACTTATTCCCGAAGGAGATGGGGGTCCCGTCCGGGCTGGGCGCGGAGCCGCTGCATCCCGCTGTGCTCACCTGTGCGCGAGGCAGGGGCGCGGCCGGCAGGGGGCGCTACCAGCCCGGCCCGCACCTCGCAGGTGGATGCCGCTCCCTCACCATCACCCCTGCCGGGACCCCCTTATCCCCATTCCTTGAGCTGTAGGAAGCCAGATAAACGCCTTCACCCACCCTCTTTTAAGCTCCCTGCATCCAGAGCCTCATTGTGAAGCCGCAGCCTTGTGATGGGTCTGCTGGCTTCCTTCTGTGCAGCCCGGCTCTGGTTGGGCATCAGTGTAGCTGCATCTTTGCTTGTCCCCCTTTTGTTAAACAGAAAAACAAACAAACAACAAAAAAAACCAACCAAACAAAAAACCCCACCACAAACACCCAAACCCCCAAAATCTTGTTCCAAAATAAGGTCAGTTTGCTAGAGGAGTGGGATGTGAGCACCTGATGACGAGCTTTCAGTGTAAGTTCACTCAAGAGTGATGATTCTTGCTGCTTTTTGGGCTGCTGTGTTGTGACCGCTGGAAGGAGCCACTGGATCGGCACTGGAGAACGTTTTACCAGACCTGAGGTTTCCCCCCCCCTTTCCAGTAAAACAAATCCTGGTGTTGAGGCTTGTCCATCGCTTGTGGTCTGGCAAAGTTTTCCAAACAGTGCTACTTACATCTTCTGTTTCCAACTCAAGAACCATTTAACTTCCTGCTGCTGTGGCTGGTTTTCTGAGGAAACGGCCTCTCCTATGCGTAGGTTTTTAGGAAAAGCCCTCTTTTCCCCGAGTAGCACACAGGGCTGTGCTGAACCCGTTAGCTCGCGTGTCTGCCGGAGACCACCAGCACTGCAGTTGTACTGTGCCTCAGGGACTGACAGGGCTTGTAAGGAGCTTGGCTGTAGCTTTCCTGTTAATCCATGCAGTGGTCATATCTGCTGTAGGGCTGCAGGTAACTCATTCCAGTTGCTCCTGGGATTTCTCTTCTGGCCTTGTGTGGCTGGTGTAGGTATCAACTTAAGAGCAAACAAGTCAAGCCAAGGGAGTTGTACTGCGAAGTCTGTTCTGACTGCTTTGGGTTATCCTCTTGGTCTCAATACAACTGCTGTTTCTGATTTGAGACTCCCTCTCTGGCAATAAGGAGGGGAGAAGAGATGCTGCCAGAAGTGTACCCAGCCAGATGTGCAGTCCAACTGCTCCAGGGCTGCTGTGGTGCACAGTGAAGTTTGCTTATTGCAAAGCATCCCGTTGTCTGGTAAGAGCCACAGTTGAAGAAGCAGCATCTGCTGCTAATCTCCTCTTTGTTCTTCCAAGAGGCCTAAAGCAGAGATTGCACTTGCTGAGCTGCTGAGGTCCTGGGGAAATGGGCACTGCTGAGGTCCAGGGGGAGTGGGCTGTGCTGAGGTCCAGGGTCCCTGCTAGTCCCTGGTGTGTGTGGAAGAGCAGAGCCCTTCTTGCTGTGGGCTTCTGTATATAAGGAAAGAAAAAATACCTGCTAAAAGCTGTATGATCCTGCAAGTGCCCTTTGAAGGTGAGTATTAACCCTTCTTGCTGTGCTTGGAAAGGTAGGAAAAACTGCTCCATATGAGGAATCATATCTGTTCATTCTAATACAAATCTTTCCTAAAAACCTGGGTGCACCACCCTTTGTTTGGGGGCTGAGCTGAAATACTGAAGTGGGCTCAGTGAATGTGGCACACTTTCTAGGCAGGGGAAGGGGTGCTCCTTCAGGTACAAGGCATCATGAAAGCCTTCAGGTACAAGGCATCATGAAAGCCACCCTGATGCCTTTTTGTGGCCTGCTAGACCCTCTGCTCTCAGTGTTAATATCCCTGTTGCAGGAGGTGGTGGGGTACAGAGTGTGATGTGTGGCTGTGTTAAACAGATGTCACACTGTAGCTGTAGGTTATCTGCTCCGTTCTGCAGTCTTGTTGGGGATAGGGACAGCTGTGGATGATCCCTTCCCCCTTCATCCCTAATGTCTTATTTCAGGGAAAGAATTTGGTGTCTCTAAATGTGTGGCCTGGTGGGGAATTAATACATGGGGACAGGAGTCGGGCATGGTTACATGATAACAAGATTGTGTCAGCATGTAGTTATGTCTGTGTCTGTCCCACTGGGGCAGCTAGTGAGCGGGAGGGATGCTGGGGTAGGAAGACCATGGCTGGAGGCTGCTGCTTCTCTGTATGGATCTGGGGTATGGGGTGGGGGAATGCACAAGTAACCAAAAAAGAAAAATGCCCTCTGGAAGTGGAGCTTGGCGCATGCGATGGGAAGTGTTGGTGCAGATAAGGCCCTTGCTGCTTTCTTGCTCCATCCCTAAGCTGCCTGGTTAGGATGTATGGTGAGGGTAACAGTTCACTGTCTGGGGTAAAGGGAGGGATGGGCTTGTCCCTTGCCAAGGGTTACGCTGCCAGCCTCAGTGCTGCTCCCTGTATGTTGCTTCCTTCCTGCCTGGTGCAGAAGGGAAGCAGGTGCCAGCTTGACCTGAAGCTGGTACACAGTGAAGGACCTGAAGTGATACTGATGATTAGCAGTGGGCAGAGCTGAGTCCCTATAGGCAGCTGCCCCAGCGGGTTTGCTAGCCCTAATAACTGGAAGGCAGCTGAAAGAGCCTGGCTTCAGGGATGTAGTGATGCTACAGCTCCTAAGCCTTGTCTAATATGGGACTTTTTGATGCTGAAGAGGAGAAAGCATGCTTGAAAATCTGAGCAGGACCATGTGGCTTGTGGTAGGTTTGGAGTTGCCCATCAAGATGCCTGATGATGACTTTTTTTAGGGTAGGAGTATGTAAGGCAGACTGTTACTGGCTCAGTCTACACCAGAGGGGGAAGCATTGCCTTAAGTTAAGTGTTAGTTGAGCCTGGCTTGCAGGAGATGCACTGGCTGTTCCGAATGCGATCTTGCTTTCATGTTCAGCCATCTCCTCTGCAGCTGGCCTGTCTGAAAATTAATTTGCACCATATTACAACTGGCTGATGGGGTAGCTTGGAGCAGCCCCAGACTGACGGGATCCCTGAGAAAGCATTGCATTTCACTTCTCCTCCCTGCTCTGCTTTTCTTGTGCCTTAAGCTTTTGGTGTGAGTACCTCCCCTCCCTCCCTTTTCTCTCGCAAATGTGGGTAGGAAAATGGGTGGTAGAAATGCCGTAGCAGCATCTGGGGACTGTGTTGGGTCTTGCACTGCTGGTCTTTAGAAGCAGCAGATGACAGGACTAGCTGTGCTGGGGTGACAGGCGCTTCAGTCCTGCTGTGCCCTGGTGCCAGTGGTAAGGAAAACTGGCCTGGAGGAGCTTGCTGCTTTCCTGAGCTTCCTAGTCTGTGGATCTGAGCTTGCAACCTGTCCAGGCCATAAATCAAACCCCCTCTCTGTCTTTCTATGTGTTCTGATTTATAGCCTGATTTAGTTTTAATGTACCCCTTTTTTTTCTTGCTGGAAGAAGTGTTGCTTTCTGCAGATTGGGATTTGCTCTACTTCCCTTCAGCAGCAGGAGCCCCCTCTGCACACACTTGTCAAGACAGTAGTAAGGTTACAAGTGGCTCATGCTTACATAGTGTTTATATTGACAGATTGCAATGTTCTTCATAAATGTAACTGATCTGTACACTGCACGCAGGCAACAGGAACCCTTAAATGCTCGCGTGGGGGAGAGGAAGGGAGGGGAAGCATAGTTTGCCCTAATTTACCAACACATCACTATCGAGAGCAGGTTGCTTGCTGCACAGTGGAATTTTTTTTGTTGTGGGAAGTGCAGTGTATTTTTGTTCACATTGGCAGGTGCAGAATAGGTACCCTGCTATGCTTTAGGTGCCGTTGGTGTAGAAACCCTGCAATTCAGGGTGTGATTTATTGCTAAAATTACTTAGAAAACACCTGAATACTGGACTTGAAGGGGTGTTCTTGGGGGGGTGTCAGTTAACATGAGTTTCTGAACTCTGTTTTTGCGAGTGTGTGGCATCAGCTTGAATGTCATCTCCAATAAAAGCAAGCCCACTGGCAGGCTGTGCTGCTGGTTTTCTCCAGCCTGTGGGCTAAGCTAGGTGCTAACATGGCTGTTGCATATCATGCATTTCTGTACCTGTCACTTGATGGTAGTGTGGGGCCACACGCTCACGCCTGCGGCTCCGACCAAAGCCGTGTGAACTTCCCAGGAAGCTGTTGCGTAGCCAGGCCGCAGCGTGCTGGCTTTCCAGACGCGCCGGTCGTCTCTGGCGTGTGTGAGATGGAGCAGCTGGTTCTCAGTGCAACCCAAAAAAACAAAACCTGGGCTCGGGTGGCGAGGGAAGAATGCGGCACACAGGCAAACACAGCTGGAGCGTGAGAAGGCAGCTCCTGGGGCTGGGAGGGTGACTTTGCCATGCCATTCGGTGGTGTTCTGCCTTCTCTAGGCAGCGATGCTGGTGC